GGACGGAGAGGAAACTGGCAGTCCACATATTCTGTAGCCTTTGTGTTCACACAGAGCTTCTGCTTATTCAGGGACTCTGGGAGCTAGGGCGACCTCCTTTTGCCCAGTCATCCTATGGCAGAGGCTGAGTGGGAGAGGCAGGAGGAGGCCAGCTTGGGCTGACCCTTTGCCTGCAGGGTAACATGAACATACCTGGCCTGCAGCTCAGTCCTTGTAATGATGGGCCTCTTTCTGTGTCTTCCCCCAAAGGCCTGGGAGCTCCAGGAAAACAGGACGTCTGCCCCTTCTGATCTGCATCTCTGCATTTAGGGCAGAATCTGGTGCAGACCCACTTAGGGTTGAGCTGAAGCTTGGAACCTACTTATCTGATTCAGTAGGCATCAAGGAGCCTACATTCAAATACTGCAGTTTGTGACCATGGGCAAATGACTTGTCAAAAACGAGGACAATCGTTTTTCTGAATTGTAAACCTGCTACCTTGGATTAAACATGGCAACGTGGAAAAGGGTTCCTAGAGGAGACTCCCATCAGTGGTGGTTCCCTTCTCTCTGTGGGACACATACCCAGGGCCAGCTCCCCCTGGGGAAGCCACACCTCATCCATCCTCACCCAGTGGGGCAGCCAGGAATTAAAAGGCCATAAAGGAGTCAGGGACCCTTTATTGACTGTCACAAATGACCGTTCCCTTTGTGGTTAGTGAATTGCCTGAGGTGACTTTCACTTGGAAATCCCCTGAGTGCAAAACAGCTTGTGTTCATCCTTTCTTTAAGCATTTTCAGTACATACAGAAGTTATAAGGGAGGAAGCTATACGCATAAAGAGTGGCAAAGTGCCTGGCTCAGAGACAGCCTGGTTGTTTGTTTGTTCATATATAGGTAGGTATTGCCCAGGATTATGAAAAAACTTCTAGAGGGTTGAATATGTCCATTATGTTGATTATATAAATAGGATGGCTGTGGTGGTTATAAACCATAGTATGTTCGATTTATGGCATGTCAGTTATACCTCAGTAAAGTTGTCTTTTAAAAAGAATAGTCACCGGGACACTTAGAGTGATAAGAGCTTCTTTTTCATCCATTCTGATAAAACCTTTTTGATTCGGGGTTCATGACCCCTTTGTTGCCCAACCCAATGTCTTTGTCTCTGCCCCTTATTTGCCTATCCTCTCATGAGTGAGCACTTGACTTTGTTGAGCACTTCTTCCTGCTGGAAAACCTTTCTTCTCTTGGCTCATTAGCAGCATTCTTTTCATTTCTACCTCCTGCCTCTTGTGGTTCCAGCTCCTCCACTAGCCCTCATTTTTCAGCCTTGTTCCTCTGCCCTTTTTCTTCTCCATTCACACTCCCAAGTTATCCCAAGGTTATCCCAAGTTGTCTGGCATTTTCAAGCTTCATAGCCTGTGCTGTCCAATAGAATTTTCCATGATGATGGAAATAGTCTCCCTCTGCATTATCCAAAGTGGTAGCCACTAGCTACATGTAGCTATATAGCTCTTGAAATGTGGCCACTCTAACAAAATGTTTTTTATTTGTTTTAACTAATTCCAGTTTCAATAGCCACATGTTGGTGGCTGCTGTACTAAATAGTTTGGGTCTGGACCATTGTTTGTGTACAGACTCTAGATGTGAACCTCGTTGGCTGGTCTTCACCTATATTATTTCAAAATAAAATAGTTAAGAGTTATATTTTTCTCATGAAATGTTTGTTTCTGGCTTGTGTCTCTGTAGATCACATGGAGTCAGTTTGTTTTGTTTGTAAGGTGAAAGTCACAGATCAGGATGCTGATGATGTCCGTACTTTTGTCTCTAGGCATGAGCTGTGACTCCAAGTCAGTAGCTCTGTCTTCACAAGCCCTATTCATCACAGTGCAACACCTCTAGCATGGCCCCACCTGCTCACCCTGACCGTTCTGGGCCAGTGTTCCCATTTCCGGGCTTGCTTCTCTGTAGCACTCTGCATGTGAGCTGCCAGCTGAGTGTCCGGGTCTTCTCCACACTGGCCTCTCTCTCTTAACTCAGAACTCAACTCAGAGGTCACTTGCTCAAGGAAGTGGCCTTCTCTGATGAAATCGGTATCCCCAACCTGAGGCTGAGGGACTTGCTTCGGAAGTAAAGGATGTATGCTGTCACCACTTTCAAATGCTTCTGAGCAATATAAACCGAGAGTCATCAAAGTATTTTTGATTAGAGATCCTTGAATCTTCCTCAAGAATTATCTCTAATCAACAGAATCCTTCTGTGCAAGTGGCACTGCCAACTTTCTATGTAGAGAATAAATATTGGTTGTGCTATTTTGTACTTACTCTGCTGAGCACCCAAATATGCAAATTTAACTGTTTAAATATGCAAAAAACAGTATATCAAGATATAGACATATAAGTTATGATGATACAAAATTTAAGAGTTTTTCATTACTGTTAATGAATTATAAGCATAAGACAAAATTTGTCATTTATTTAAACTTTCTAATTTCTGAGATTTATGCATATCATGACCAAAGTTTTAAGAAAATTAGAATTTGATTTAAAATACCAAATCACTTTTGTCTTGAAGAGAAAGGCTTGTAGTTTGGAGTACATTATTCCTTATGTTATTTTAGTCTCTACTTTATGAAAAGATATGTTATAAAAACAATGCAGGGCAGGGATTTAGCTCAGTGGTTCTGCCATCTGCCTCGCAAGCCTTAGGTCCCAAGTTCAATCCCTGGTACCAAAAAAAAAAAAAAATTAATAATAATAGTGCAGAAAAGAATTACCAGAGTTAATAAACACAATATATTACAATATTTGTGACTCTGATATTGTTTTTTTTTAGCTTTAATTGAGTTTATTGGTACATTTTAGGGATACAGTACAGTTACATTCATTGTTGGGATCTTGTACCTCTACATGACAGGTCCTGGTTCTCATTTTTTCCCTGAATTCCTGCCCTCCCTTCACCCCCTCCTCCCCTCCCCATCTATAAACACTTTATTTCCTTCTTTTTATTATCTCACATTTTTTCTTTTCCCTTATTACCCTTTCCCTACCCATCCCACCTTCCCTACACCTTTAGCTCCTGATATTGATTTTTTTTAAAGAAAGGAAATTTATAGCCAGATGCTGAAACTCTTTACAGTAGTCATTTGTGTAGGAGATTCCAAAAACAACAAAATTGAAATGATAAAAGCAGAATGCTATATATTAGTTAAATCACATAGTAAATGGAGCAATGGGAAATGTGTTTAACATTTTGCAATGGAAATTGAATATAAATAAGAAAATGACATAATTTCATACAAGAAAATTGTTTAGATAAGCAATGTTAAGAAAATTGAGTTAGGGCTTCCATTTTACTTGACTTATATTCTTTTCTCTCCAAGGTCAGAGATGATAGTGATTAAAGTATTTATATTCATTGACCCACTTCTGCAATAGCTCTCCAAAGGGAATAATCCAAACTTCAGACAAAGAGTAATGTTAATTGTGCCCTTTTTTAAAAATAATTTCAGAGTACCAGGAACCATGTAAAAATCTAGAGGAATTAAGCAGATTGCACAATGTCCATACAATAAAGAATTGTATGACCATTAATACAATTTTTAGGAAGACTTTAATGTTGTGGGAAAAAGCTTCTAACCTAATACTAAGTGAGAAAAAAGGATATAATTATGCATTGTGGTCTTAATTAGGCAAAAACAATATCCATAGTAGAAAACATGTTAATAGTGGTTAATTTTAAGAAGTACATTGTTACTGGTTTGTATTTTTCAAATTTTTCAGAAAAAGAAACATGTACTACTTTTATAATAGCAAAAAGACTATTAAAGAAACAAATTATGGTGGTGCACAAAAAATTAAATATTTAATCTCACTGTGTTTTAGAGCTGGAAGGCAATGCAGGGTTTTTGTGGGTTTTTTGTTTTGTTTTGTTTTGTTTTTTACCTCAGATGGCCCATGATATTCTTAGTTTTCTTACTCAATTGTTGTTACTTGCTGATCAGAACGTCAGGCTGGCTGTCAGCTTTGCTTTCTTAGGTATAAAGTAGGATGAGGAAGTAACTATTATCTAATAAATGTGACTTACTGGTAGCTAAACATTTTAAAACTGAGGCAGTTTAACAGATTTCTGATAGCATAAAGTGGGGACTATTCTAGAGGTTTTTTTAGTCTTTGGGTTCTGATCCATTTACAGGTCATGAAATCATGACCTAAGGGGTCTCCCCCAGCATTCCTTTGTAAATGAAATTAGTAGAATTTTTTAAAAAAAAATCACAATTCATCACAAATGGAGAATATTCTGTAAATTTTGATTTTAGTACATATAAGTATTGAATCCTAACATAAAAGGTGGTTTGGTTTGGTTTTGGTTTTTTGTCTGTAGTTTTCAGTCAAAAAAGCGCAAAGACTCTTCAAATGATCTGGACTAGTGGTTTTCAGTTTTCTCCTGGACCAGAGGCATCAGCATCACCTGGGAGATTGTCAGAAAGGCAGATTCCTGGGCCCCACATCCATCCTCTGAACCAGACACTGTGGCTTCATAAGTACAATTTGGAGAACCAACTGGCCTTGCTCTTCCAGGGATAGCCTGGGGACCACACTTACACCTGAGATCTAGTTAGAAATGCAGAGTCTGACCCCCGACCAAGACCTACTCAGTTAGAATCTAAAGGCCTGCAGATAATCTGCATGCAGGCAGCAAGACTGAATAGTACTGACGCGACCCATCTTTTAGAGGCCACGTAGGCAGTATCAGTGAGGAAAGCAGCCTGACTTCCTCCTCAAAGAGTGTAGAGCAGGAAAAAGGCATTGCTGTGATGGTTAAAGACTCTTAAAAATTTCCTGTGAATCGCTTCTTGGCCTTTTGCCTAAGATCAAGTGTAAAAATTTCCTGTGTTATGCCATTTGAGGTTAACACACCCAGTCAAATTCATCAACTAAGATTAACTGCACTTGACACTAATTTCTTTAAGCAGATTTGAAACACAAATTTTAATAGTGACCCTTCTTTGATCTCTTTTAGGAATTTATCAAAGAGCTGCTGTCCCGGATAAGAGGCATGAGGAAGCTGAGCCCTCCACAGAAGAAGAGTGTATGATTCTGAACAGGGTGGAATTCTAAGACAGAGAAAGGGCCTGCGATTTAGACTTCATGAAGACTTTTATTAAACAGTAGTTGTTCTTATGAAAAACCTTTTTTGGTGTGTGGGGAGGGAATCTATTAGACATTTATTCAAGAGTGTTCCTTTTTTGTTGTTTTTTTAAATGGCTTTTATTAGTGTAATATTTTAATAGGAAAAATACCACAACTCTGACTGCAACCCAGCCAAGGATGATCAAAGCAGGTAGACATCCAAGGATAGGCCAGACCAAGCTGTTTTGTGCAAAGACTCAGATATTTCAGACTTTATTATACAGGGAAGATGGTTTTCTTACAACCCATTTGGTAATAATTTTTCTTAAGTTGTACATTTGACTCAGATGTCTAACTTCTTGTACTTGTATATACCTACACACAACTAAGCTAAAATGTAAATGTGAATTTTATTTCATATTGATGGAATAAACTTGTGGTCATCCTTTCACGGGAGGTCACAACACATGGGTTTCTCAAGAGGCCATGAGGCATTCTTCGTGTGAATGCTGTTGACTTTCAACATTTACTTTCTGCACCAAAGTGAAATGAGCTACACTACAAAATGTTGAGTTGGTCAAGGGCTTAATTTCTGAATTAATTTCTTTTGCTTCATTGGTTGGATGCTTTGCCAGGTCACATACCTTTTGCCTCGTTTGTGGTTGTTTAAAATTTTATGAGCCCTTAATTTGAAGAACTAACCTGATTTCTAGTGAAATGCCCATGCTAACTGGATGGTATTTTATGATGGCAAAAGGAGCACTGTGTAGCAATGAATTCTCTGCTTTCCACCAAATACTGTGTATTATTCTCTCTTCTCTCCGTGAAAGCAGGTCAAAGGAGGTTAATAGACTGAGTGTCTTCCTCCTGAAAAGGTTCCTTCTGCACTTGAGTAGCATCAGACCAAAAGTATGAACTGATTGTAGAGATGAGAAGAAATCACCTTCTTTCTGACAGTTGATAACAATGAGGTTTTCAGGCTTAGCAGCATGGTTGCATTTCCAGCTTCTCGCAGTAGTTCATGGGGAGGATTCTGGGGTGCCTGGCCCTAATTTTGACCTTAATCTCCATGCTTGGAGCTAGGCCTAAACACCTGTCCTGCCCTCTTAGCTACATACCAGCTCTCTGGAGAAGAATTAAAATTCAGATGGCATGTGGGTGGGGCAAAGGGTGAGAGGAGAAACTTCCTGTCCTCCAAAAGGCCCCTACTGCCTCCCTGTGGAAACCCCACCTACTGTAAGATGTCTCCAGGTGGCCCTGTCAGAGGACAGGGACCCGGCATTTTATATCAAGGGTGCTCTGAACATATTTTATTTTTTAAGAGAACTATGTTCGTGAATTTTACGTACACTGGCAAGCTTTTAAAAATGTATTTAATTTTGTAATGTTTACCAAGGATTTATTTACAAGCTATTTACTCAAATAAACTGCAGCTGCTTATAAACCTGTTCCCATGTATTCCTTGCAGAACATGGTAACATAATGATTTTACTTTATCAGTTTCTCTGCAGATGAGGGTAGCAAGCACCCCTATACCTGGCCTTTTATTTTCAAAACACCTGCAAGCATTTAATCTTGGTCTTCTGCTGAGACATCTTCAGATCAGGTGGCAACTATAGACACGCTCTTGGGCTGAGAAGAAGCAAGATGAGCAAAGTGTGCTTAGCCCTGCCTGTGCTCGTTTTCTTAAAACTCTGTTTTTCTCATCTGATAGAAATTCTCAAGGTTTTGAATTAACAAAATATTTCAATTATTAGAATACCATGCACCATGTAAATCAGAAACTGAATTTTCAGGATTGCTCCTAGGCTTGCCCATCTTAGGTAGTGGTCTTCAGATGAAGCTTGAGTTAACATTTCTTCCAAAGGCCTCTGACTCCCCCACCGCATATACCTATCTTGCTCCCACTAGAAGCTTGGCCTCTTCCTTAACTCCTGTCCTCCCCAGCTGGCCCTAATAATCAAGCATGTCCTCTTCTAATACCTCTCAAATCAATCACATGTTAAACTTCCCTTGGTTGCTGTAGCCCTCTTGGAATTGGCTTCTCCACTTCCAGGTTGGTTTCTCTCTGCTCCCATCTCCACCCAGTAGCCAGAATGATCTGATTATTCTACCACCTGCCTAAAACCCAACTCATTGCCTACCATTTGAGGAACTGATTCTGGTTCTTCTGCTTCCTCTTTTAGCCTTGTTCCTATATTTTCAGTCCCACTGACCTTGGGGTGTTTGGAATACTCTGTTTTCTTCCCTGAGATTTTGTATAGTGTGTTGCCTCTTCCTGGAGCACCTTCTCCACCAGCAAGCTCTTTCCAGAGGGCTGGAGCAGAAACTCCCTAAACATCCTCAACATCTCCGACATCTCCTTGATCGTCCCTAACATCTGGAGTATTTTCCCCATAGGAGCACATATCCACACTGGTGTTACGCCTTCCTGTGCTTGTGAGTCTCTTCTGTCAGCTTCTAAGAATCTTAAGTTTGGAGCCATGACTTAATCCAGCATCTGGTCCTATGCTTGGTCCTTTGACAAGGACCAAGATCAATATGTGTTTGCCAGTTGTAGGTATATGATACATGTTCTTAAAGAAAAGAGTTTCCTTCTCAGCTAGGGTGGTGGTTCTCAGATCTGAATGAACATTCCAATTGCTTGGAAATTTTTAAGACATTTGAGGCCTGAGCTTCAGTCTGTTCTGAACAATTATGCCACAATATCTAGGACCAGAGTTGGGGCATTCTTTTTAAGTTCCCCAGCCTGAACACCACTGGGCCTTTGATCATTCTTGTGCGATCTGATGCACTAGTTTGAGTTCAGCTCTCCATATTTGTACTAACAACAGGTGGCAGCTATAACATTGACTCTCTGGTTTATTCTTCTTCAGAGGTTCTCAACACTGGGCAAGGAGTCCAAAGTGGCTAACTTCTAGTTCACCGCTCACTCAAACATTGGGAAATCTAAGTTGAAACTTGATGAAGTAGCTTCTACTGATAACAAACATAATAAAAGTCAGCCCTGTGTTGAGTGCTTACATGGCTTATCTCATTTAATCCTGACCTTAATCTTATGAGGTAGATTGCATTATCCTTATTTTACAGATGAGAAAATGAACTCAGAGTTTAGCAGCTAACAGAGGTCATATGATTACAGATCCAAAATATAAACCCAAGCCTGTATGACTTCAAAGCCTAAAACATTAGGATTTCCTGCCTATTGTTTCTCAGTCCCATTGACAAGAGTGAAATCCCAGTTTTGCATCTAAATTGAGCCAGATTCCTGAACCAGTAAGCAGGTTTGAAGGTTTTGTGGATGAAGGAGTGCCTCAGTCACCTGCAGGGCTCTTCATCTGCAGTGTAGCCAGGCCTGGCAATTCTGCCCCTCTATTTCCATGCACTTGACTTTTCCCCTGAGATAATGTCATTGGACTGGGGCCTAGCAGGGTGTGGAGTATACAGCCATTTCCAAAATGGACCCAGAGAGGAATACCAGTATTTTCTGCCACTGGTCTATCTTCACTTGAATTCATTCTAACCCAAAAGATTACTGGAGAGTTATTAAAAACTAGCTTGATGGGACTACTTACTTCTGGAATCCACTGGAATAAGATGAGCTTAATGAAAGCCACTCAACCCATTTCATTTAACACCTCACTGAGACACTTAAACATGAAGGAAACATGTACCAAAGATAACTCTGGCCTAGTTGATCCAATGGGCCCAATTGAAGCACCAGAAAAACAGGTTTCTAGGACCTATTTTGCATCTGTTTTAGAATCAGTGCCCTATTGAAATGTCTGATGTGCTAGTGGGAACATGCACAGAGTGAAGGGAGGTGGAAAATAAACTAGTCTTAAAAATAACTGCACCCTCAGGCAAGGTACATCAGTCACCAAGAGGATTATTCAGCATTCATTATAGTATCAAAATTTTTTTTTTT